GTATGCGTGTAGGTGTTGACAGTTTGTCAGGCATATAGCAGTACCGAAACCATATTTCAACTCTGATGCTGGAGCTGAACAGAAACTAATAGAAATGCAACTCATAATTGCCTTCTCGTGCTGCTGGGCTTTTACTCAACTCTGCAAAGCTAACACCTTGGCCCCCAAAACATTAGTGTTAACAGACACAAAATACAAATTCACATGCTCAAAAATGAGGCATTTCAACTACAGGAAGTGTAACGTTTGTCCAGATATGACGCACAGAAGCCATATTTGAGCAAACTTCATGTGAACAAGGCTAGACATTCAGAAAAGAAAGTATTCAGTTACAGGAACAGTGATTTCTAAGTTGGGTGGTTTTTTTTAAATCTTGAACTGACTATAGGAATTCTTGAAAGCTTGAAAGTTTAAGTGGAACTTTATTTAGTATTGAAATTAATATTTTAGCTACTTATTTTTACTCACTAAAGTAACTAAGTCATGTTGCACATAATTTAAAAAAAACTCAATGCAAAATAAACTTTCTAATGGAGTTTATGCCACTGTCAGCTTTAAATATTTCAGTATCAAGGCTTAGATATGATCAGACAGGGTACATCATGAACAATTAATTACTCTACTGTATCTGTTAGCTCTGGTAGAATGCCACATGCCCAATTTAAAAAAATAATTAAAAAAAATAATCTATAAAAAATAACAAAGAGCTCAACAGTCTTACACATCAACATAACGGTAGTCCTGAATGGATGTGGACATAGCTTATAGACTGACACAGTTGGGTAACTTACAGCGTGTAACGCTGATATCTAGATAAGCTAAGGTGATAATTTTTCCCCATACTAACAATACTAAAAATGTAAAGTATTTATGAGGAGAAAACCTGGAAATCAGAAGAAAAACTATTTAAAAAAAAAAAAAAAAATCCCAACATATTACTAACCTATTGCCACTAAGAATGGCTACAGAAAAAAAGATGACATATGTTCCTGGATAATTATGTTTTCACTAAGGCCCACAACAAAACTTTCCACTCTAATATAGCTGCTATAAAGACCAAAAATCACTTATTTCTCAGCAGCACTTAAACATCCTCCTAAATGCTGGACCCACTGAAGTCAAACTCCTCCCCCTGACTTCCAAGAGAGAAAGATTACCTCCTGGTTTTCAAGTATAACAACATCATACACTAAACTTGTGAGATGATGTCAGGAAACATGGAACCTGCTCCTGAGAAGGTATGAAAGGCAGCCTTTGATTACTACTTTTAACATATTCAATTCAGATGTGGTTCAAAATGTGCTTTATTTTTTGCTTTAGAAAAAACGGGTTCAAAAAATGAATTTGGGACTGAAACAAAGTTTTAAAACTTCATAGTGACTCACTCATGCAATACACAGGTTATTCAGTTTAAAAACTTCATCTTTTAGTTTTGTGTAATTCCCCAGTTAACTGGGATTGAAATCTAAGCACTATGTTTGCAGTAACAGAGAATCTGCTAAGAACGCTAAAACCACTTACCAAAGGACAAGAATCTGTCACGCCTTCCATGTTAATTTGTTTTGCAACTAGAGCAAAACCATGGGTAACCTCAAACAGAAAAGGGTGTAACGAACCTGTCCCAGACCGAGATCCAGATACCCAGAACGTTAAGAGTGGTCACCATCGCTTCGGAGCTTCACCCCGCAAGCGAGCACGCGGCAGGCTGTGCTGCTGTCGAGATCCGCAGTGCGGGGTACGCTGGGGTGCACGCTGTATTCCAGACACTTGCGTAAGAAACTCTGCAAGAGAATTTCTAAACTATTCAGTGTTTGTATGCGTTCTGTTTTCCGTGGGGTCAAATATCAGATGGAGATCCAGTGTTTCTTTGCCATTAATTTTGCTAGCAATGAAAAATACCTTTTTTGGGGGGGTGGGGATGGCAGTTGTGGGTAGGGAGAGTCAAAGTCAACAGTGTAAACAACTTCCATGAACACAGTTATTGACAGAAATGGCTAAACAGTACGTTCTTACTAGCTTGAGAGACATGCAGCAGACTTTTAATCTGCAGTACAGATTCCAGTACCTTAAATAATGGCTTGTACATCAATAAATTCAAGCACTGCTTGATATGTAATTGTCATGGACGTTACAGTACCTCCTTAAACAAATTTAAAATGACACTTAACTATCTAATTTTTCCTATATATAATACATTTTCAACAATTATAAATAACATTACGAGCATTTAATCACATATATACACACAATACTAGTGAACCCCAAATGGCAAATAGATATTTTTTTAAAATGCTAAAACCAACTTAAATTTTCTGTAATTTTGTTAAACTCTTGTTCTGGAATAGTGTACCTTGCTGAAAAGCGCATCTGCCTATCTGTCAATACATAAGCATGCATTAGGATGGACACATGCTAAAATAACTTCTTTCTTTCAGTATCTTAATTTGAAGAAAATCAAAGACTTGTTCGAACTTTCAAAACAGAGAATTATCGTCCGCTGCAGAAGACTTTTCATAATCCTTAATAATTTAATCAAAACAAGAGAAGAATAACCAAAAGCCCCATACATGATTCCTTTAGTATTAATCATTAACTTAAGAAGCAAAAATACAGAGATATTGGCACCCTTTTTTTTTTTTCTTCCCTTTGCAATTTGTCTCTTCCTGCAGGTGGGAACAGACACTGACTGAGGGAGAGGAGGAAATGAAACTGTATGAAAGTGCACCGTGCAACAAACAGTAAAACCGATAATTGAGAATGCCCTTCAGGCATAAAAGTAAAAACTCTGCTTATACTGAAAGATCTGTAGCTGACAAAGCTTCTTGGAAGTCAGTAGCTCTGTACTAGTACTGGGAAAAAAATATTTCTGTGTGTTGGAGCACCTGCCATTCAAAAATGTTTGAACTGCAGGCTTAGCTAAAGGTTTCAAGATAAATAACATGGTGAAATTGTGTAAGTGATCCGTTCTACAGCCGAGAATGGTCCTGTCTGTATTTACTGTTCAATACTGCATCCGATGCTGACAAGCTCTGTCAGCACTAGAACTATTTGTAGTGTAGACAGGACTAAGGGAAATAGTCCCATTTAGACATATCACTTGAGCCATTAACTTAGACCCCTTGTAAAATTATTTTTACTTCCACTATAAGGTGGTATTGGAGGGAAGAGAACCCACACAGCCTAGCTTCGGACATCTAAATGAGATTGTTGGGGGGGGTTAGTAGTCTCCTTAGGTTGCAATGTAGCTCCTGCAAAGAAAGACAAGGTTCTGTCCAAACAGGAATCGGGGAAGTGGGGGAACTTATTTCTTTTGGCTACATACAGGGTTTACTTTCCTAGCTGAGATACCCATGTTACGGCAATCTTGTCTGAACTTCAAATAGCTTCCACTGATCTAATCCTGCCAATATACATTTTACAGAAGTAACCCAGAACAATATAAACCTGAAGGCTACAAGGTCTGACCTTGTATCAGTCAGTGAGATTACTTCCTGCTGGGAGAGGAAATGTTTCTTCGGACACAGTGTGTTTGGAGGATAAACTAACACCACCACCTATGCCTAACAACTGAAGGCTAGCTTTGTAGTGTAACTATTTGCCCCCCAAATAAAGTAATATATTCTATATCTGCCAAATACCATAACTCATCCATCTTTCTAGATATAGACTTACTCCATAGGTGCCAGATAATTTATGTACATGTCTTTAAAACAACAAAAAGCTTAGAGACAAGTTACACAGAAGGTCTAATAATTCCATTCTGGTAAATCGGAGCACTCGCCGAAGAACAGACTCTCTCTCCCTCCCCTAACATGAATATCCTAGGTAAAATGGTTTCCTCTACCCGACTGTTGGTGTTGATAACCAGCCACCTGTTCCCACTGGCAACAGCAACTGATTTGCCACCCCATTAGTCTTCAAACCTTGCCAAACTGACACTGTTCCTTGCCAAGAAATAAGCAGCAGATGCTAGTTTCACAACCTTACATATAGCACAAAGGCCTGTCATGATCTTTAGCAAATAAATCTTAGAATCCGTTAAAAATCTTCCAGCAACTTTTCATCCAAGTTCTCTCCCCCAAATTTTCTGTACTATCTGTACTTTGCAACCTATTATTTGCCTTCAGTCCTGTCATATGAGCCTTCCTGTGCTTTTTGTTGTCTATTTCCTTTTTTTTTTTTAACACGCCTCTACATCATGCCACATCAGCAGCTCTTAGGAATTTCAGGGTTTCATTGATTGTGACATAATGAATCGTGCAAAATCTTTTAAGTAATTTTTAAGCCCTAGTTACTGGGATTCTCCCCATGTAACAGTAAGCAAGCTCAAACAGTCCATCAACATTCTGCCTTTTCCTTCCTCAGACTTTCACGGGATGCCATCCTTTCTCTGGCAACACTGTGAAGGAGGCACTCCCCAGTCATACATGTAGGAAAGCCTGAGCTTAACCTCCTCCTTACAGAGCTTTCCCTCTTTAGCCAGGGTCTGGTGCTTTTCCAGCATGTCCTCGATGCTTTGCTTATGAGTTACTACGTACTTATTGTTGCAACCTCGTGACTTATACTCAGTGTCAAAGCGAGGGTCGTGCACTCTCTTCACATCAATGGGAGCCAGCCACACCCCCAGGGAGACATCTTCACTCTGCCACATGTTCAGGTAGTCTCTGCTCAGACGCAAATAGTGCACCAGATCTGCAGAAATCACATAGCCACCACCCAGGGCATACGGCAGATAGTAGTCACAGAGCACCCAGGCGCTCTCTTTCCATTTGCCGCCAGATTTCACTCGACCGCGGCCGGAAAAGAAGCCCCAGTAGAGACGATGCGGCTCCTTGGCTCTCAGCTCTTCCACGAGCACATCCAAGCGTACGAAGGTATCGTCGTCAGCCTTCAGGGCAAACTGGAAGTCCAGGTGCAGATCCAGCCAGACGTACATGGCCAGGACTTTTGCCGTCAGGTTCTCGTAGGAGTCCCGCAGCTCTGGCAGGAGGAGGAGGTCTCTGTCCCAGCTCTGCTCTAGCTCCAGGTTATGAAGCTCCTCCGCCCCGAGCCCGCCCGTGCCGATGACGAAGCGGCTCCAGACCTCATC